CGATTGGATCTGTGGCGGGATGGTGCAGCGGACTGCCAATGGATTTCCACCTACGAGAATAATATTAAGTTTTACTGCTTTCTTTTAAAATTCATTAGTTTGTTTGTCCCAATAACAATATTAGCCAAGTTAATAGTTAGAGAATGTTTAAATTGTTTTTTTAAAGACACGATTTTATGTTTTGAATTTAAAATTATGAATGTTTGGTGTATTAGAAAGAAATGAATTTTACAGTTCCGCATTTTAAGTACATGAAAATTATTGTAAGTAACCCCTCTAGATGCATGAAATTTTGGGGCGTTACATTCCATATACCATCAACACCATTAACAACAAAATCCTCAACAAGATTAGCCCACCATGAACGGGCTTCTGATTTTGTGAAGTCGAGATATACACAAGGCCCAGGCCACACCTACCTTAATGATAGAATCAAATAAAATAATGTAAATGATTGAGATAAAAATGAAGAAAAGTTAATTTGACAAAAAAATGCCACGAGTTCAAGTTTTTTCGTCTCTCTTCCTTTTTCATCTTCATTTTAAATGTTTCATTTCAGTTTTGTGTAAGAATGTAGAGAGGAACGGATGTATCATAAGAACCTTGAAACGACTTTCGATCAACAATTCGAATCCATATATCTTTTTTAAAACCACTATCATAGACAAAATAGCCATATTCATATTTGATCCCTAGGTCAAGCATTCAGTTTGCATTGAAACCATTTTGATGAAGATCATCAACAAAAGGTTTCGGATCCGGGAACCTCTCCTAAGATAGATAAAAGTAGTTTGTGAAAGTTTATTAAATTCGACCTTACACGCGAAATTATACAATTAACAAGCAACAAGTCATTTTTTAATTGTTTCTAGATGATTAGTCAATCAATTCAATTATCTTATGTTGGATGCCGCAATTTATATGGAAAAATAATAAATAACACCAATATTGTTGACGGAGAAACCCAACTGAGTAACCAAGTCAGTTACCTTCACTATATACAATACGAATTTACAGTAAGATGATGCCTAACCAACTCACTAGACTTCTCAATCTAATTCATGTAACCTCCAAGATCAGCTGAACCCACCAGCTCCCGATCTTCTGCAATTGTCTCTTCCATGTGGAATTTTAAGAACGCCCCGTCCTTATGCTTTTCCTGCACTTGTAGTCCAACCTCTCTCAACTTCTAACAACTTTTGAAGCTCAACTGAGAAAGTATCTTCCTAAGGGTGTTTAGGAAGTAAATGTTTTGGATTCAATGGATTTGATGTTTTTCCCCAATCTACGGTTGTATACTCACAAGAGTAAATGGATTGAATCAATACATGAACATACTCTTGAATCTTCAAAAATAATATGAATATGTTATAAAAAAGAGGCACAATGAACAACCCCCCAAGTTTCGTGCAAGGCGTGGGTAGGGGTTGGCAAATGGGTCGAGTAGCTCGTGACTCGTCAAAGCTCGGCCCATGGAAGGCTCGGGCTCATTTCAGGACTAGCACGAGCCTGAGCCGAGTCGGGGTTTGCCATACGAGCCACTCACGAATGGCTCATGGGCTCAATACAATATTTACATTGAAATGTCACAATATTAATAAATATAAAATTGTGATTCTTTCAAAGCATCACAATATTTTTTAAGAATATTTAATATTCTTCTGAAATATTAAAAATGTATGAATCGTATTTCGTTCCAAAGTAATAATAATAATAATAATAATAATAATAATAATAATAATAATAATAATAATAATAATAATAATAATATTGTCTAGAGGTAATAAATTATGTAATGATTTACTCTTCAAGTGTAAAAACATAATTTATGTTAAAGTTTATATTATTATACTCTTCGAGAACTGGTAAAATATAACTAGAATATTAATGGGAATTCTAATGTGCTACTTCAAGAACACGTTAATTTTAATATTGTTTTTTCAAGAGC